AGAAGTTTAATTGAATTTTAATAAAGATAGAGGCATGGCCTCACCTTTGAAGATTTAAAAAAAAAAAAAAAAAAAAAAAAAAAAACAGACAATTTTTCTTGAGGTCAAGTATTTCTTAGCAGACTTTCCAAAATATTTGGTATCAAAATTAGAAGGTTTATTCTAAAAACATTCTATAAAAGTAACCAATATACACTTTTAAGTTAGTAGAAATAAAGAAGCTAAGCTATTCAATTATAAAACTTACAAGAAGAACCTTATCTACTCTTATTAACCTACTACTTTTTTTCAAAAAAATATTTACAAAAAATAAACATCTCAGCTTATTTATTTCAAATGTTAACAACTTCTTTACCAAAATAATTAGCATTATTTATCTTTCAAATTGGATGAAACTGAAATGAACTATCAATCACATGTTCTACTTAATAAAATATGGCAGAATTAAATAATAGTAACAACAAACATATAAATATATATGCCTTAAATGCAAGAAAATCTATGTCAACAATATTCTAAAACTTAATACTGACTTCATAAGTTAATTAAGTTTTTTTAATAGATTTTATTTAAATATACTAATTAGATAAAATTAAAGTAAAGGCTAGTTTATTTAGTAGCATATAATTTTTACAAGCTTGATACAAGCTTATAATTATAGTATTAAAATAGGCAAAATTCTTTTAAATTTCTTTTTTGTTACACCTCTTACACCCTTTTATTCTTATTTATATCTTTTATTATAACTCTTATATCTCTATATTTTTTTATTATTGTCTTCTTTTTTTATTTTGCAACTTGATAAATATGTAGCTGCTTGTTAAGAAACTAATAAAAAATAAGTATTTAATAAGTTAAGGATCTGTTGAAAAGGCCAATAGCTACTGAGGCAGCTTATATCTGTTATATATACTGAGCAAGTCTATTTTAGTTAGATTAATAAAACTTTTAAACAAAAAGTAATATATTGCTTTTTATAAAACTTAATTTTAAATAAACAAAAGCAGAATTGCTAAATTAAAAAGGAATATTATTGTTAATATCAATATTAATATTAAAATTAATACATATTAAAAAAATACCAAAAAAACAAACAAAAAAATATTAAACAAGTTACAAAAAAATATCAAAAAAGTGTTCAAAAAAAGTAAAAAAAATAAAAAAAGTATCAAAAAATAATTAAAAAGGCAACAAAAAATAATAAAAAAAGAATTAAAAAGTAATAAAAGAAGTATTAAAAAGCAACAAACTATCAAAAAACAACAAAAAAAATACTGAAATATATTGAAAAAAAACACTAAAAAATACAAAAAGATCAAAAATAACAACAAGGAAACAATATTAAAAGCATTTAAAAAAACAATATAAAAAGCACTAAAAAAATAATATAAAGAGCACTAAAAAAACATTATAAAAATTATCAAAAAATAATATAAAAGCAAAGCAATAAAAAAAAATCAAAAAAAAAATTTAGTTAATTGATAGTTTACTTATAATCGACACTGTTTTTATAATAAGAATTGATACAAATTTCATATGAGTTTTATAATGGAGTAGAATCTGGTATTAGCTCAAAGTAAAGTCTTTCTTTTATTAAGTTAACCTTTCTTCAAGCTCTAACAAAAATTGTAAAGCTCTTTTTTATACAGTAATTCTAATGATATAAAATTATCAAATTTGGCCTAGTGGTTCTTGAGATATTATAACTTTGCATATATAAAACTTCTTTGCAATATTGTAAAAAAATTTTATATATACAAAGAAAGAAAAGTTATAATATTTCAAGAACCATTAGACCAAATTAGATGATCTTACTATCATTAAAACCATAAAAAAGAGCTTGTTAGAGCTTGAAGAAAGGTTAATTTAGCAAAAGAAAAACTTTGCTTTGAGCTAATACCAAATTCCACTCTATTATAAAACATGAAATTTGCACCAATTTTTATTATAGTGCTGATTTTATCTGAATTAGTAATTAATTGAAATAGAATTATGTAGTGTAGTCATGTGCTGAAAAAAATTTGAGATGTATCCGGAGATTAGCCAATAAAAATTTGGTCACGTGACCTCTATTTGTGTAACGTAACACGACCAATAATTAATATTTTGGAAATTTTGGTCATGTGACCTCCATTTGTGTAACATCAGTGTTAGGGTTAAGCAAATTAATGATTGGCTAGGTAATGTGAGGGTGGCATTAACAAAAATAGGGGTCATTCGATAGTGAAACGAATCGAATGGTATCAAAATTGATCGATTTTCAGTGTATTGCCAAAAAACGTACAACGTGAGTCACAATACCTCCCGCGTTATAATACCCGACCTTCCCTTATGTTATTCGATAATCTAATGTCTGCAGCTTTAATATCTTTCTATGCCCCATGCTTATCCTGCATACTCCTTCATAACGATAATTTTTAAATTTCAGATTAAAATCCAAATTTTAGATTAAATTAAGCTATACGATTACACGGGTTCATGAGTCGCAGCAAACCGTGACAAATCTGTGGTATGACGAATTCGTAAACCTATTTGAGCTAGATCATTTAAAACCATCACGATTTCTAATTCAGTAAATGATAAGCGTTTTTTTTTTTTCGCATTTCGTGATCGAAATCCAGTATCAAGGAGAATGGAGAAATCACCAAAATAAAGAATGGGAAGACATTAATAAAAAAGGAATCACTATTAATGAACAAAGAAGCTATTAATTGAGAACAGGAAGCCATTGATAACTGTTGAGATTCGATAGTAGAATGCGTCGATGATTTAATACAAAAAGAAACACATTATAATTGAATCGGCCAAGTTATCTAGCAACTAATTGAATTATAACACTACTAGCACTAGGTCAATTAGCCGTATTTTTGATCGCAATCACCACCCAAATTTATAACTTGCGGAATTTCCGAAGCAATGCAAGCAAAATATAATATTTTATATTTTAAGCTTGACATAATATAACACTACAGAATACATATGGGTAGCAGCGTTGATACCAATTTCGGAATGTCCGTCGTATCAAAGAAGGATGGGTTGCCCTATAAAAAAGAAAAAGTTTATTTGGCAATCAAATTAATTTTCAAAAGATCAATAATGAATGTAAAGTTTTTTTTTTTTTACCATGATCCACCGAGAATTACATAATGCTTTCCATCAAAAAAATCAGAAGAATATCCCGGATACAATTTACTTTTAACGAACCCAGGGTATTCCTCAAATTTGGTAGAAGTCCATGCCCAAGCACTACCTATGTTATGAACAGAATTACTATCCAAGGGGACATCAGTTGGATGCCAATGGGCAAATCCAAAATTTGAATCCAAGCTTGGGTTTCGTGAGTAAGTATCATAAAAACATCGTAATTCTCCTTCAGTAGGTAGCCGCATCTTTGCCCATTCAGCATAATGGCTTGCTTGTTCTTGACTCAACAATACAGGCCAATTCATCGCCACATTCATATCGACAGGTCCGAATATAGTACGAACCTTATATTCAAATGATGGAAGATCTAATGGAATCCAAGATAATGGGTAATTCCTATTCACAGTTGCTTTCATAAATTCCAAGTATTCATTATTGGTTATAGGACGTGATTGAATCTTAAATGATTGGACGGTGATTGTCCGTGATGGACGTTCGTTATCCCAACCAAATGGTAAGTCTAATGGAGCCGAGTCGTCAAGATCCTCATTATCATCATGGCCAAGTGTAATGGTTTGTGTGGGTATTGTCAATAATTTTGCATCTGGAGCTTTTTGAATAGGTGGACGCATATTTGGGATAACGACACCTTTTGGTGGTAAAACATTTTCGAATTGTACCAACATATAAAGAAAAGTTTCAAGATGCATTGCTTCATGTTCAAAAGACATCCACAGGACGCGACCTAATGAACGTGGAATTTGTTTATCCTTATATGCATCGTAAACACGTAAAAGCCTTTGTCTAACATTATCTTGATATTCGAGGATTGAACTTAATTTTGGCCATTGATCAGGAACAGCCGAATGAGGATTAACTTTTGTCATGTCATCCATATCAGGATCGATTCCTCGTTCGAAAATGGAGGCAAAATTTTCTGGTTCGGTAAATTTTTCATGAAAATATTTGGCCAATTGATTATCGAGGAAAGAGGGAATATGACCGAGATAAAAGATAAAAGGATGTCGAAGATAAATAGGTTTTGAATTCATTTTATCCAGTGGAATCATACTTAAGGTTACAGTATCCCATGATTTCCATACTTCTTGCCATTCTTCCACGGTTGGTACAGATCCTTTTAATTCTTGAGGACGGGTAAAGAAGAATGGAGGTTTATAAGTTAAGTGAAGATCATATTGCAAATCAGAACTAGACCAGCTTTCTACATGAGCCAAACGAGCATCGTAAAAAAGCTTTGTAGTTTCAGCTTTATTATATTTATAAGCATATTCAATTCGAATAAGTTCATCTTCTTTTACGTTGATTTTGATTTTTTTTTCGTTTTCATCATTAGGAACTGCAAATTCTAATGTTTGATCATTTTTAGATCGATAATATGCTTCATGTCTACCTTCATCTTCATTATAAGTTGCAAAATATTCAAAATTATTACGATTGATAAATGGTTGATCAAAGATAACATTAAGGTGATCCAATCCATTCATGATAAATTCAGCGGTGATGCCTTGAGAATCATTGTAAGCATTAGCAACCTTTTCAGGGTCATTTCTCCTATCGATTCCGATTAAAAACAAATCACCAGGATTCATTGCTTTTTCTTGGAAACGACGGATAAAGTTTGCGCCATCTTCTCTACTTAAATTCCCAATTGAGGAACCTAACCACATGATAGTTTTTTGTTTATCGTTTGGTAAAGTTGCAACAAAGTCCATTCCATCTTCATAAGTGCCACAGAGACCAACAAGTTTGACATTTGAGAAAGATCCCAACGAGGACAGAGATTTGTTGAGTTCATGTTCCATGAGATCGAGGGCATAATAAGTGATATTTTTCTTCTTTTTTTCCAGATTCTTGAGAATAATCTGGGTCTTACGCAATGATCTGATATATATATATATATATATATATTAAATTAGCTACATTATAAAAATTTTTCAAGGGTACGCACGGTATTCGTGCGCCTAAAGGACTCAAAGGACTATTGAAACGTTGCGCAGCTAGGGACGATTGTTTTGGTCTTTTTTAAATTGTAAATTTTTACGATGAAATTTTCTTTGTGAGCTACTAACTAATAAAAGTCGCACGAAATAAAATTCTTAACATATTTACATGGCAAATAAAAATGATTAAGCTTCTCTAAAATTCGGAAATCCTTGAAGTATAAAAATTTAGGACGGTTCTATGAACAGGTCTTAAATTTTATATTTTAAGGATTTCCAAATTTTGGAGAGTTTTATCATCTTATTTGCTAAGCAAATATGTTAAAATATTATTTTATACGACTTTTATTAGTAGTTCATAAAGAAAATTCATCGTAAAAAATTTTACAATTTAATTAGGACCAGTTGGGACCAAAAGCATCCCTAAAATCATCTAAGTTAAATTTTTTTCTTAGAGATTTATTTATACCCAACGTTAGTTAAGCAACAGTCCTTAAAATATACAGTCATCTCTTTAAACCAAACAAATGCTGCGGATGATGCAAGAATTAGTTGACGCCAAGATTTGAAAGTATTAAGAAATTTTAAAGTATTTTTTTTTTTTTTTTTTTTAGCATTTTTCTCAGTTCTAGGTTAGTTTACTAGGTTAGGATTTAGGGTTAGAATCATTAAGGAGAGTATTATTATGTTAATTTTAGTAGGTGCTTCAAATCACAGCGTCAGCCGATCACAGGTCAGTCGCGACAATAGATCATTGTTAAAGAGAATTGACATTTTTTACAATATTTTTATATTTACCCAGCACCAAGTTCAATAATGCTACTGTCTGAGGCGATGTAGTCCGTGATTTGGTCAACTTTTTTATTCAAAATATCGATCTCGCAATTAGTCAAATAATATTCGTCAATATAAGTAATCTGGTCAAAAAGCTGCAAGCCACGATCATCATAAAGAATTATTGTAGGTATAACTTTCGTGTCATTTTCTTTTTCGATGAGGCCAGCGATTATATCATTAATGAGGTTTTGCCTTGTTATTTTTTTTTTACAAATATTAATCACAGAAAATGTCTTTAATGTCATATTTGACATTCGATAATTTCAAGGTAGTAAAAAAAAAGATTTGTTAAGATACATCCCCCCGGCTACAAAAGTATATATTTACGGTTTCACAAAAAAAAAAAATAAAACGTACGTACATGTAATAGTGACGCAAAAAGAAAAACCTGACTGGGTTTTAAATTTATAATCCAGCAAGTTATGTTCTTAAGCTGAAATTTGGCTTTTTCTTGGTGTTACTCGTATCGATATAACAACGATAGTATAAAAAAAAACATTATTAATTGCCTTATTTTTACGGTTTTCCGTAACAATGCTATATTTATTTTTGGTAAGTACTTACGTACATACGTATTCCCAGGGATTCAGTGCGTATACGTATTCGTAATCTGATATCGATATCTGATTAATTACTCTATTATTTGTAAAGTGGGTTACATTTTGACGTACATACACATGCACGTACTACGTAAATGGGCTAGGTGCTGAAAAAAATTTTTTTTTGAGCTAAAAAATCTAAAATTAGTCCAAACCCATTTTTTTTGCTTAAGGAACAAATGCTGTGTCTTAATAAAATTTTGCAGTATATTTCTTTAAAGTTTTTATTTTCTTATAATTTTATTAAAGAATTTAAAATCAATTTTCTGCAAAACTTTTTTTTTCTCAGCACCAAGCCCAAATTATCTTTCATATTGTTATCATGTGTTGAAAGTTACAATACAAGTTATCGTTACTATTAATGAAATCTAATTTTCCAGAAATTCTACCCAAGTTACGTAAATTACAAATCAGTGATTAGATGGATACCTGAAATGGATAGATGTTTTTAAACTAGATCTCTATCCGGTTTAGGGCTGTATGATCTAATGCAAGTACGTACGTACGTATGTACGTATGGACGTATGTACGTACATACGTACTGTATGTACGTACGTACGTCCAGGTGAGGTATTCAGTAAAATAGTACTGTACGTTAGTACAAATTCGGATGGGCATACAAAAATTATACTAAATTTTGATAGTATGGTTAATATAAACTTGTAAAATTCAATTTTTATGGGTTAGTACAAAAGTAACATGGGCTTGATAAAGTTTTTCCTTTTACAAACCGTACGTCCCGGTGTCTCTACATAATTAAAGATCAGAATCAATAAAGACTAAAATTTTAACATTAAAATTATTCTTATAATATAAATGTCGATATCAGTAATAGAATATTCAAAATTATATCGAGAATTGCTCGTCTTCATATGTTCTAATAATTACAGAATAAGATAATTATCTCCTGTATTCATTGTAAAAAAAAAAAAAATTAATATTTGTACACGATTAATTTTCTTAATAACGACTTGTCATTCTTTTAATTTCCAAAAAAGTTCCTTATAGTGTAATATGTATTTCTATTAAAAAAAAAGAGTTATTTAATATCTTGGCGTGATTTTCTTACTGCATTATCTAAAATATGATCGTTTTATAGTTTTGATTATTGTACAATGTAATCTGCATTGTTTTTGTGGCGATGCTAAAATACTAAACAAGCAGTTGCACATGTGGATGGCTTCTCCTGTTGCTGGGAAAATCCCGGACACTTATTCACATGTCTTTGGCACTTACCCGCACCATATTATCACGCACTATGCGACTACGTAACAGGTATTCAAAAATTTGAAATGCCCTAAACTTAAATAAAGATTTTCAATAACGATAACAACTTAAATGAAAAGGCTTTTCAATAAATTCTACGAATATGTAGAATTTTCGTTGAATTAGATCAAATAATTATTTTGAGAAACTTCATTATTAGATTTCTTAATAACTATCGATGAAAATTTTTTAAATAAATTATGCTAATTGAAATTTCGGAGTTAATGACCGAGCTTCTGATTTCGAATTAAATAGATGATCTATTAGTTTCGAATAAGTGATATATATCTATATATTTTTACTGGCAAAACCAGAAATGCTCCAAGACTCAAAAAACCCGCGAAATGACGCTTGAACGTACCACGGTCGTTACGCAAAAGGACCGCCGAGAATCAATGCACCAGGACCCATAAAATCGAATGACGATCCCCATGAAACATGTGCGCAAAGCCCCCGATTTAGTGATCCGAATCGTTTATTTGAAAATACCCTGATCACTATATCATGATCACGGGTATTTTTATTACAAATCAACTAATCGATTTAGAAAAATTTAAATCAACTAATCAATTTAATTATCAACTACGAGTCTGATAATCCGTGTTGATTTCTTTAGTTTGATTGGCTAATCGACATATTTTGTCACATTATATGAAAAATCAATTATGTATTGCAACTATAATTGGCAACTAATCGACTGGCAAAATTTTTACCAACTAGGAACATACCACGATTGAAACAATGAAATCGTAAATCATGCACCAATCCCAAATGCGAAATTCCACCATCAAACCTAAAAGGGAAGGTCGATTTCAACTAATCCGATTGTCAATGGCGGTTAAAAATTGGATGTTAGTTCAATTTTGTCTTTGGCTCAATCACAGATTGACATTTCCGGGTTGATTTTGCCGGTTTATTAATGATCTTCGTTTTATTTACATCATTTTGTATATTGTGTATACATTGCTATTATTTCTTCGGGTTGTTGCTTGATAAGCATATTTAGAATGTGTTACAAGTCGGATTTTAATTACTCCGAATATTTGTTTACAATTGTCTTCATGTTGTACTTTTCGGAATTTGAATTCTTGTCCTTTTATGAGGTTATACGTTGTAAAGTCGGTATACTTCCTAATAGTTGAAATATTTGGCGTTGGATGAAATATTATATTATATCATCGTTGTGGGTATTTCTTTATTTTTGTTCTGTTCTATTATATGCTTTTCAATTGGTTTATTTCTACATATGTGCATTAGTTTTTATTGTATATACGTATGGGGCGCAGATCACGTTTGAAATTTAGTGTAAACAATGATGATCTATTATTAGCATAACCTGTTTGATCAGCATCGTACATGACTATTAACCAATCAAATCAATTAAAATTTTTTCGATTCATGAAATGAAGTTTTATTATTAGCAAAAGCGAAGCTTTTTTTAAATCCAAAGTAATTCTAATCTATCTTTCAACTATTTACTTTATTAAAACCATATTTACTATATATTAAAGATCTTAGTTATCTTATCTGTTTAATAAATAATATATATATTTGTTCTTGGTTCAAGTAAATAAACCTTGTTAAAATCTTTATATTGCTTGGCCTATTTAATAAATGTATAAAATCTTATATTAGTATAACACTCATGATTTAACATTTTATAAATCTAAGATTCGATTAGTAATTTAAATGTAGTAGAAATTCAATAAACTCTA